GACGAAAACCCTATCCACGAAAACCCCTCAAGAAGCTGCGTTCAAAGCTTCATGAGATACTACGAAGAACAAGAATTTTCAAAATAAGAGAAAACAAATAGTGCTCATCTCATTTTATACTTGACAATCAGGTTTTATTAAGCTAGATTAGTAAATACTACCTAATTTATTATGTTATCATCATATTCTTCAAGTTTTCAACATTCTTCAGAAAGCATTAACAGCAAAGGGAAGTACAAATTGAAATAATTTAGGAAAGAGAGACCAATCTTGTTAGAAAATGAGAAGATACTGAACATGATTTTCTAATACCAAATAAAAAGCCCTCAAATCTGCTGTAATATTTTAAAGATAATTTAATTGAAATATAAAACAATTAATGTGAAATTTTACTTTAAGAAAGAGAATTTATTAAAAAGATGTAACAAAAAATATATAACTAATACATTATTACAATACCCTATCAAAAAAGCCGAACCAATGCAGCATTTATAATTTTGCAGAAAATATTACTCTGATAACAAGTATAAAAAATAAATCATCTTTCCTTTCATAAAACAATCATAAATATGTAGGGAGAGGGAAGGTCATTTATCTATACTTCATTTTTAATTCTTTTTCCTTTGGTGGGTTTGAAAACAGCATTTTTGACTGATCTTTACTTGGGTAATACCTACGCTATGAGCTTGAAACCCAAATACAAATTTCATTGTCAGGTACTGACAAATTTGATTCACAATACATGTATATCTTTCCATTTTTCTTTCTGAAATGGCCTTGTATCTTCTGCTCCGACAAAAGGTGAAACAATTTTCATTTGGAGTATCAACAATTCCTCTGAAGAGCACAATTTTGTTACAAACAGAACTCAATGGGGAGTTTAATCTTAGCAAAAATTTCCTACAGCAAAAAATTTTAGCAGAACTTGTTAATAAGCTTTTATATTAAGTTTTTAAATAGCACATGCTTAGAACAGAATAATCAAATTTATGGATCCACTATATGGAATTTTGTACAGATTGTCCAATACATCAGAATACTATTAAACAATTACTCATAAATTACCGGAGCCAGAATTTTGCTTCAGTAATAAAAACAACAATAACAATAATAATAATAATAATAATAATAATAATAATAATAATAATGATAACAACAACATGAAGGACAGTGTTTCATGAAGTGAAAACAGAGCAAAAGTTTGAGAAGTTAAGTTCTTGGTAGTATAATTAATACCCAAACTAAATACTTCAAATATTTTCAATAAATATTTTTATGTAGTGAAACAATTACTTTCAAAGGTATTCAGAAGGAATTTAGTTAATTATTATCATTTCATGGATTCAAGAAGCAACTAAATCTCCAAAAATTATTGCATTTGTTTAAAATTTAATAAGAAATTAAGATACCATTTTCTTAACTTCAGTATCTGTACTCTATAATATAATTTATCACTATCAAAGGAAAGTGAAGTTCCCTTAATTCAGACACACACTGAGAAAAAATATAGCTACTCAAAGAACTTGAACAAAAAAGGACATATTGAAACTGAAGATTAATTGAAGTTCCCGTATTTAATGAAACTCAAAAACAAACATGAAGGAAGTTTTATTTTAAAAAATTATTTTGAAAATAATAATAATCGTTATCATCATCATCATCATCATCATTGTTGTTATTATTAATCCATTCTTTGCAAATATTATTAATAATAGAACAATTCAGTCATAAATTTTAATATACATTGTCATTAGGAAAACTGAATGATTCTCAGGCACAAGAAACAAAATTCAAATTCAAGTAACAAAATCAAAATCGTAAGCTGCAAATAAACTTTTATGTATAACTTTGTCCAAAAAACTGAGAAGAGTTAATCACTCCTCATAAGTGAATAGTCAAATTCTCTTAATAAATGTAATACAACTTACAATTTAGTCATTGTTTATTTCAATTTTATCATTCATAATTAACACTATATTCTCTTGAAACAACACTGATATTTTGGAGAATCCATTATCAAAATTGACTTCATTAATTTCCATTTTGGAATATAAATATTGCATCTTAAATTTAAAAAAAAGTATTTTCATTAATAAGTTCATGAGGCAATAAAAACTGACAAAAGTACAAACATAACATTAATTTGCCACTGAACATCATGCTCATAGCCAGCAATTTAAGTATACGAGTAACAAATCTGAATAGTAATCTGTAAGCAGAAAATCATTGTTGGCGTTCAAAGTAATGTGATTTGTGCCTGTTATGTGTTCAGAGAAGCAATTGCAAGAGGCATCACGTGTCCTTATACAAGTGCAAAGACAGGGAAAAATTAAAAAGTAAGTGAATTATAAGCTTCTCAAAAGCCTCAGGTAATGGGGCAGTTTGGGGAATCACACAAGCATTGTCAATCATCAAAAAGTATTTGATTATCATATTATCATGAATATTTGGTCAGCATCTCATTAGAGTGCAAAGAGCAACCTATTCAACCCCGTGCATCTTCAAGCCATAACCACAAATCATGAAAGAATAAAGATTAGAAAAGAGGAGATAAGAGAAAAGAGAAATCCTTACATGGAGTTTTGCCACGTATGCGTCGAAGCATTGATTGACCTTAAAAGTCAAAAACAGAATATTTTTGTGGGTCCTAACTCGTATATGGTGTAGCATACTATGCAGCATTAATACAGCACCGAATACCTCAGAAAACTTTTGTTATATATATCGAAACTTGACAAAACCTTTGCTTAAAATGTTCCACTTGTGCACCACAGGACCATGAAACCAAACTAGCTGACACTTCAAGTAACTACTCAGAATGACATTCTAATTTTTGACATTAAAAATTTTGAACACAGTTTTTCGTACAACTTGAGACAAATAAAAAAGTAGGCACTGCTTCTGAGATATTCTTAACATAGACCTAAGAAGTAACAAACTCCACATTCATAACAATAATAATTATATAATATATATCCACAGAATTGTATCAATCAACTTGGACAGTTATGTAAGATCCAGTTTCACCAACTAAAGTACATAAACTTGAAGCTTAACTTAATTGCACCCCGCATAATTTCTATTTAAAAAAGAAAATAATTAACTGAGGATTAATGGAGATAATTCAATGTTATGTGAATATAAATATCCCATTGATACAGATTTAAAAAATGCAAATGCAACCAATATTTTAATACTACCTATCTACTTAATGATATGGTGAAAAAAATAAGACTATAAAAACTTTTTAAAATTTGCACATTTTAAATAAAATGTTATGTGCACCCACAAATATGTAGAGAATGCAACCAAAGCATAAAAACATGAGCCAATCTACTAAAGAATATTGTAATATATTGCTGTTATAATACAAATTATTGTTACATTTTTCTTTGTAACAACGAATTAAGTATTAAAAACAACCATACCACAGTTTGTAACCTACAGTAAATGATTTTGTGTTAAACAACATAATACTTATTTCTATAACACAGTATTAATGCTCCACATTTTTTTAAATTCAGTACAAAAGCATGGATCACTGCACTTCTCAAAAGCCCTGCAAGCAATATAAGGCACAAAAAAGTGTCATGTTTCAACACATCACATCAAATAAAAATTCACCAAATTCATAAATTAATCAATGGTTGAAAAGAGCCAGTTCACTCACAGTAATCAATTTGTAAGAAAGATACTTTCTTTTGATTGCGTAGGTAAACATTTCTACTTCAATTTCAACACTCGCATCATTGTAAAATTGTTACTTCTAATTACCCCACTACTTTACTACAAGTGAACTTGCCCCATGAAGAGCTATTCCAAAAGCATACTAACTCTTCAGAAAATTAGTTCTGCATTTAGAAAAGAAACTTCTGCAAGAGTGGCCATGGTCAAGAGTATTTCTGGTATTTATGCCATTTTATTATGGTTGTTATTCATTTCACATTTTTAACACAATCTACTGATCTGTACTGCCCAGACTGCTGTGTCATAGGTTGGTTTGCCAAAGATTTCAGCCATTCTATTGTGGCCTCATCCAGGGCTAAAATGGTTCTGGAAAATTTCAAGACCTTTGTTGTAGAGCCCATGACTTTATTTAATACAATCACTTTGTAGCTACCACAAAATAATCATTACTTCATCCAATTCAGGCCATCGAACAGGGATAAAATGAGTTCAAGAATACCATGTAAAGTAAGTTTAATAAGTAAAGACCAAATAAGTTTAAGAGTAAATGCAAATTCTGAATCACACATTCCAGAAACAAACTTAGCTTGATGATGATTATGAGTACTAGAACTATGTATTTCTCAAAAAGTGTAAAACAGGTAATTGAATTAATCACTAAATAAAATAAGACATTCTTAAGAGATAAAAAAAAGAAAGAAATCACAGTAATATTCTGCCAAAACTCCAGAACTCATTGAATGGATACTTGAAAAACTTCACTGAATAGATAAAATGTTTGATGCAAGTTTGCTGAGAACAGTAAATATCAGAAAAACTGTTGACCAAAACCTCAATAATAATTAGCACTAAGCTGCACTGGACTCTCGGACAATCATTCCTACATTTCCTGTGCAGTTTAAACATGAGAAATACAGGAGCCAATGCGACAAATTCACACATATTTTTATCTTTAAAAACAAAAACACATAATAGACATTAATCGCAATTAGATTTTCTTTTCTGGAAACATTTTTGGAAAAGCAAAAAAATGCTCCAATTCTAATATTACTTCAAAATAATTCTTATTAATAATTACTGCATGCTAGACATTTCATATATTCTTAATATTCAATATTTAATCAATGCTACAGCATTATAGTTGATTTTCGTCACAAAATATTACTGACAATGACCAGCACTGCAAATATATTTGCAATTGAAAACAATTTTTTTAAACTTCATGTCCATACACAAGAATGTGAAGAAATAAGACAAGATGGAGAAACAAGAAGAAAGAAAAAAAGAGAGATAGAAACAGCTCTTCAACTTACGTGAGGGAATCTTTTTGAAAACAGTCTTTGACATGAAATCTTGGAAGCGCTGGGCATAGAATCCTGGCCGGTGTACTGATACTGTATCCTAATGAAAATAATTTTACAAAAAGTTTTACTTTTGAATCACTTCTCATTCTGAAAATAAATATTATTTACAGAGACATCAAATTAAAGGCAAATACTAAAAGGAATTAATTTTGTTGGATGTACTTGGCTTAGTCTCACATCAGAAATTTATAAAAACAAGTACTGTATCACATTCCTTGAAATTGTGAAAGTCATGATTAAAGTTTTAATAAAACACTTATCCTAAGATTAAAAAAATTGGGAATCATGAATACCATGATGTATTACATTCAATATCAAACTTAAAAATCTAATGGACTCTAATACAACATACTGACTACAAAATATAAACGTAAAATTAATATTAAACTTTGGGACATTTCTCTCGCACACCTAGAATGCCTCGGCAAAAGAAACTGGAAATTGATGGGAATACCTGGTTGAAGGCTTACTCGCCAAAAGTTATGGTTAACACCATGGAATATGCTATACAAATGAACAAACAAGAGAGAAAACAGTGATATTATGATAATTGGTATGAGAAGAAATTTATCAGTAGATATATCAACACTGTTCCAACATCTGAGGAATATGTTTCAGAGAGAAAAAAAGAGGGGAGATGGCTTCATTTCTATTTCCCAGTTCATCTGATTCAAAGGATTTACAAGAAAACTCCATTTATATATTTTGCACTTAATTCCTATCTCTCATGCTAAATTATTTCTTATATTTATTTTACATTTACTTTTTACATGCTTATATACCAATAATAAAAGTCCCTTTAAAACTGTATTCATATAATAATAATATAAGTGAACAATAAGTGATACATTATCCTAGAGGAACGTAAGGAATCGCTGTAGTGTTTTGTGTCTAGGTTGTTTAGTTTTATTGGTCCGCAAGGTCTTTGTTTTGAACCCATGAATCAATTGATTGGCTATTTCATGTTGTGCATCAACTGCTATGGCCATTAATCCTGTAAGTGTTGTGTATATTTTCAGGATCATCCCTTGCTGTATGGTGGGATTGTGATGTCTTGTACGTTGGCTCTTGGGGTTTTCTCCAACTCCCACCAGCAGGGTACTACCCCCAGTGAGGACAAGTTCTAAGCTCCCAACTGAATTCCAGCCATGTTTGGTAGTGTAGAGCATGTCACTGTAAGTGTGTCTCAATAAGAGGGTGAAAATAGGACAAGGAACAGGAAGGAAAGATTACACGTGTGATCTGTGGCCTGTTTGTTATGGACTGCCTGGTCCATAGGCCTTAGTTATGCAATTTTCTCACTTTTACATTTTCTCCTTCAGTTCTCTGAAAAACGTATAAATGAAGATTCACTGTAGTAAACTTTTTGGTCCCTCAGGACTTCATTAAATTACATATGTTAAGGATCTCTCCAGTAAGAGCAACATATAAAAGGTATTCCAAGTACCCATAGTCTTCTCCAAAAAAATATTTACTGAAACAAATAAATGACACTGGAGAAAATGAGAGGTATAGAAACGGTTTGTTGTCAATTAACATCTGTGAAGTTCTAGAGTTAAAGTCTCTTTTTGAAAAATGAAAAACACAAAATATGATGCTGATATTCTGCCTCTTTATGAAGACATCTACAGGGCTTGGAGATGCCATTTGTGTTGTGTGGTATTGTGAGATTATGTAAATGGTGAAGTGTAATGGTTTATGCAATATAGAGAATATATTGAAGACAAAAATAATGAAGCCGTGAAGAAGGCTCCTAACAGCTTTGACGAAGCGTCAAACACATTTTTAGCTCCCTCCCTGCCCCCAAATGACTTAATCTCAAGAATCTTCTATAAGTGGTAGTTAATTTAAATCCATCTACACATGACAATTAAATCACATGCAATGACCAAGTACGAGATTTTGGAGGTAAGAGTGAAATAAAACTTTTTGTTATAGCACAGATGATTCCTACCAAAAATTACTAATTCCCTTACATCATATTTACCCGGATATATGGTGACTGAATGTAAGGGAGGTATGATAATTTTTTTCATTTTTAACTAATTCATATTATTCAGACAAACTAAAATTCCAAACTGACTTATTCTCTTTAAAATTGTCTTTTTGATTACGTTTAATAATTTTGTCTGAGGTGCCATTCTTTTCTTGTTCCTTATCATTTTCATCATCATTTGTGTCAATACTAATTTCATCATCATTGCTTGTTTATTTGTCTTCTTACTTTCTGGCACTCCTTCCATACCAGGTCGTCCTCTGACTTTCTAGGTTGCTCTGAAAGTTTTTGTCTTTCATCCGATGCAATATAAGAACATTCCCTTCTATGTTACCAGGTTTTCCTTTTGTGCTCTTATTGAGCAGCAAAAATCTCAGCAAAAGTTTTTTGGGTCCATTTTTAAGTTGGGTTTCGCTTACTACAAACAATGCCATTTGATTAACATTGCCTCCTTATTGGTCTGTTAAAATATTGGCCCATCAAATCCGCAGCAGACGCAAAGTTACATCCATGAATGAAATTAAGTATTATAGATATGCTATAGTTTTTATCACCTTTGCAAGTTATTGTTAGATCAACATTTGAAATGGAAAGGAACAATAAAAACAGATCCAAACTAACTAAGCATAATCTGAGAATGTAAGATGCTCCCATTTTTATTTTTAATGACATATTTAGGTAAAAACCTCTTAACATTCGGGTAAATACAGTAATTGGTATTGGTTTAATACATTGATAAAACTGATGATTACCGGATCATGGAAGGAAGACAGTTTAAGTCTTTCATTAAGAGTACCATTTTACTTTCTTTAAAGATAACTATCACAATCAAAAATGTCTTAGGCACTACACAATGTTCAATGTTGTGTAACTTCAAATACAACAAAAAGATAAATAACTTACTCCATCATGAATCATGGCCTTCCATGTATGTTCAAGCTTCTTTTTCAGTCGATAACTTTGGAGAATATCAATAATACCAATGAAAAGCAAAAGGCGCTCTCCACGTGAGTTTCTAGCAGGAATACCACCCGGCCTATAAAAATATTCCTCCATGAAAATTCACAGTAACTTTAATGAAAAGTACAGATTATTTACTGGATAACACAATAAAATGTTTGATTTGCATTTCAACAATACAAATTACACAAGAAATCAGTATTAATCCGTCAATGTACAAGCTGTGATCAAAAATGTCCAATTTTATTATCGACTTTTTTGACAAATGAAAACAATTATCTCAAACATTTTTAAAAACATTATCAAAACAACAGCAGTCGAAAGGAGAGAAAAATGTTTAAACCATACTGAATTTGGAGTGAACATAAGCACCTTCCTGAGAAATCCATAAATTTCACTAGTCTTGTTTAGTCTTTCTTTCCTACCATCTATACTTTTCTAACATAAATATTGTGTACAGAATCTAAATACAACTCCACTGCTCTCCATGCAGATTACTGGGTCATGTGAATAAAAGTGAAGTACTTTACTTATTGTTAATACTATTAACTTGTAGTAAATACTTTCTCTTGTAGTAAAAACTTATTTTTACAGTATTTACTTAAAACGATTTGAATAAAACTGAGTTATTGTTTTTTTCATTTCATAAGTACATTATACTGTAAATTCTTGAAACATGGTAGTGACCACACTATAGTGACTTTTTGATGTTTGAAACTGCAGAAATTGTGTATTAATGCTTGAATGTGCATATAAAAACATAACTCCTATGATGATAATAATAATTGCAGAGAGAGGAAATAAAACAAGTATTCTTCAATTGAAGTTCACAATTTATTTCTTACAATAATGCAAGAAAATCGTGAAAACTATTCAATATTCCAATTTTGTATTAAACAAGATGCAGATTTTCAGTATTAAGCCTGAAAAAGGTACGCATACACAGCTATTGTTAATACAAGTGGGTTTGTGGAAAACAGAACCTGAATTTGCAGTTTCTTTTCTGCCCTTCATACTCCGAAGTTGGCAAATTGTTTATTGCTATATTGTGATTTTCAATAATTTTCACAAACTGCATTTGCAAAAGGTGGGTGTCGTTCCCAGCAGTTTCATCAAAGAAATTAATATTTTCTGTGTAATAAATCTGATGTGAAACAGCACACAAAACACATAATCTCACAGATCTCAACACATGAGACGAGTATGAACTGATTTCCCAGCATTCTCCAGCTAGTATTTACTTATTTTTCCAGCATTTCCTTCCTAGTAAAAGTAGAACAAGGTTATTCATACTAAATTAAGTAAATTGTTTTGTTTGTAGTAAATGCTTTTACTACAAACTCTCTAATTCAGACTTCAAGTAAATAACCATTTTTTTTCACGCCACATGAAGCTAGATGAACCTAGCCTGAGATCAAAATCAATCAACCAGACCCCCACTTCCTAGGAACAGTGAAATAGAAATTTTTATTCCACATCTTATTTAATAAAAAAAAATACGTCAACAAAGCTGCCAAATAATGCCATTAACACTACTTTTCTCCTTGTTTCCCCATGACTTATCAGAACTTCCCCTGAACTTTCAATTAGCAAGATCATATATGAAAAAAATCTTTAAAACGAGCAAACTTATACCAGAAAGTGAATAGAGTGCAGTTTATAGCAGCTATCTACTTTTAAAGAAATTTTGCGGCAAGCCTATATCTTTAAGGTAAAATTCAAAACAATATGTGAATGGCCATACTCATTACTGACATTCAAGTCTCCATGATGCATGAAAGCCACAAATACACAGTAGTGTAGACCTTAAACAAGTCTAAAAGAAAAAAGGATCAGAAGTTGAACAATCTCATGAAAAGCAGCATGTTGCATTTACATTCTCGCTACAGACTAGAAAGTGATGTAAAGCTGAACAAAAAAAATTAATTTTTGGGACCGACCGACCGACCGACCGACCGACCGACCGACCGACCGACCGACCGACCGACCGACCGACCGACCATGAATCCTTTTGTAGTTTGGTTCAAAATATGTTTTACCTAGTTATACAGACAAAGTTGCTAGAAAAATTATATTCATCTCACAGGCAAATGACTCTCAGCATAACCTTAATCTACTTGAGAGAAGAGTCTCAAGAATATTTTGATCACCTCCTGTACATTTTAAATGAGAAAGTAACTCACGGCACATCTTCCTCTTCATCGATTGGCTCACTCTCAGCCTGAATACTCTCCATAGCTGTGGAATGTGCTACTAGTCGCTGTCTATTTATAGATCGAGAACGATTGAGAGCAGTAGAACCACCTGGGCGAGAACCAAAGTCACGCTCATTATCAACTGCACTAGCAGAAGAACCCTCTTCTGCTTCTCCACCACTTGTCTCCCCTTCTGCAGCTTTGGCATTAGCAGATCTTCTTTCCTGTTGTCATGAATATATAGGTTTGCAATAATTATTCACAGAAAAAAAAATCATTCTGAAACTACTTCAGTTAAATTAATAGTGCTACAACACAGACTTACTTGTATTATTCATAACAAATTTAGTAATATTACAATTTTGCAAATTGTATCTTATCTTCACTCATCTTATGAAATACGCAAAAGAAGTGCACGAGATTTGAAGTTTTAAAAGTTCACAAGTTTTCAAGAAAATTGGACTTAGGCTGTATTTTAAACAGGTTTTATTCTACTCGAGGATAAAATTTAAAGAGAAAAATTTTCCTCCAGATATCATCGAAATCGAACCTCTGCCCTCAGACTTGTAAGCCAGAGTGACATGCACTCCTCTGTCAGGCAACTAGCATGATATATGCAAGGAAATACTTAATATTCGTGCAATTATGAGACAAAATTATAACAAATTGACTCAAATTACTCCAGAACTTAATGGTTCTTAAAAAATGTATATTTGGTGCTATGTAGAAAAGAAATGCAAGGCAAATTACCAATGAAGAGAAATGGAACATTATCCAAGAAATGAGGTAGACAATGCAATTTTGAAATTGTGAGAAAAAGAAAAAAATCCTACGTGTATTTGCATGTTATTTAAGTACACATTAGTTTTCAGTATTATGATGGTTACACAGACGGATATGTGGAAGGTAAGTATAAATTGAGCATTTTTCGTTAGCAAGTTTTCCCCCTTACAGTTTTCAAAATTTTCAGTCCCTTGAAAAACTCACTGTTGAAAAATTCAAAATTTGTAGATGAAGGTTTCAGACGGAAACCTCAAATTTATCAAGTGTTAAAACTTTTGTTCCAAACCTTCACACACATTCATAAAAAATGATCAAGTTCTTTAAAATCATTCACAAATATGTAGTGTAAATATTCTACTGTAATGCGGAATCTGAAAGGACCAGTTTTTTTCCACGTTAGACAAGATTCCACATTATGCATTGTAATATAGTGGAATTTACGTTTGCCAGGACCAAGATTTATGTTCACATTAGACCAATTTCTGTATTATACATGTTCCACATTCAGCATGTTTTACTGTATAATAATCACTATAAATAAAACAAATTAAATTTGTCAACACTCACCGCTTTTTCTCGAGCAGCTTGATCTAAATTGTGAATACCGACTAGCAAACTGTAATCCATTATTTTAAAACTTTCCAGAACCTTGAAACAAAAATAATATTTTTGTCCAGGGAAATCATGTGCATTCACATTATAGTTGATATTAAACACAAAGCATATTTTCATCTTGTTTCTAAAATAATACCAGCAATATCTGATGTAACTAATCACTTTTCCTTCACTTGTCTCTAATGAAATTTAAATATTTATTCAGTATACAAAATAAACTTCACTAGCTGTATGAAATAACTCACCCTACAATCTCTCTGAATAGTTTTTACAAGAGCAGTGTATGTATCTGCCTCCAGTCCAATTCCTTCAGGATGATGATCTATAAAATCAAGATCCTTGAATGTTGGTGAATTCTTCTGTCTCTCTGTCTTCGATGCCTACACATCCAGAAAATACACTGAAACTTACTAATTATAAAAAAGAATCATATTAGAGTGTCAATGTTTCAACTGTTCATAGAAAACTTAACCAGTTCCAATTAAATATTACTCTGTGTAAAAGCAGTGATCTTTGTTGTACTAATTATAAAGTGAATGAAGGTAGAGAATCACCATCAGACGAACAGAAATGTTGGCTACTAAACTATGGTAAGATGAGCAGAAAGGGAACAACTATTCCTCTAAACATTACAAGTATGTGGCAGTTATTGGTAGGGCCAAATATTAAAAGCGGCATTAATCATTTCAAAATTTCATTAACTTTCTGCACAATTTGGGCTTATTATTCATGAACTATATTATGTCCAATGAAATAGTATTTATTTTATTTTATATGGTAATTCCACTCGTAATAATGTAATTTTCTGCCAAATTGAAATTCATGAACATTAACTTTTGTCATTAGCAGTTTTGAGGAGTAAACAATAAAATAAACTGAAAAATGTTTGGCATTTAACTAATCAATTTCAAACGCTCAACAAAGATGTTACAAATAATCCCATTTAGCATACAACAGAGGTTAACATATCCAATATTATTCTGTGAAATTGTATGAAATAACCATGCTACTGAAGTAGTTAAAATGGATCTGCATACAATGACAACAAAATAACAATACTCTGAAAACAATTCATAAATATCTAACAGGTAGCCTTGGATCATGAAGCCCAGTTCCCATCAGAAAAGAGATCAGTTATTTTGTGGCAAAATAAATTGGAATGACAAAAAATGGGATTCGACACTGTTCACAAATCACATAAGGGCATTTGAAAGAACGAAAAAACTGGAAAGAAAACAATCAAAGAAGCAGGTGTAAAAGGATGGTGTAGCAATATTCTGTGCAGTGAAAACATACACAAAGGCAAGTTTTTTTGACAAATACATAAGTAACACTCTTATGTAATACTTATTTCAATATAGTAAAAATTTAATTGTCACATCCCTTTATTCATTGAGCAAAAATTTTCCCTACTTTTTTAACAAGACTCCAATATTCTTTCATTTATTAAAAACCAGGACACTTACCCAAGAATAACTGCATAAATTGTTATTATGCAACAATAACTTGCATTAGATTCATAATAATAAACATTTGAAATGAAAATTCTTCTCTTTTCTTTCTACCTCAAAAAATTATCTACATTACAATACAATTCACGTCACTAGAAAATCACTCTGAACTCATTAGATGCTTGATGAAAAACTTTTTATTCCATTGTATTGCAGTTTAAACATTTTATTTTTATTTACTGCTATATTTATGAATTCAATAACCAGGAACACAAAAATTTTCTCATCAATATTTACATAAGTTTACCAGTTTGTAAGTAGGCTTAATAGTACATTGTTCTTCACCTCAGGTAAACAAATATTGAAGCACAGAAAGAGGCAGAGAAACAGGGATAAAAATATACAAGAGATAATGAAGGTTTTGTAGCTACCAAAAAATTTTTGGATTTACAATACTGAGAAAGGATGTAATAATTTTTCAGCCTTCTGAAATATCTTACAGAATATAAAAAAAGTTTCTAATGAAACAAAAATATCAATTCCTTATTGACACCATAAAGAAATAACTCAACAAATTAATTATCCACCACAATACCAATGCAAGTAGATCGAAGTTCACTGTTTCTTGCCAAGGAGCTATAAAAACCAATCAATATTAATAGATAGTGACAGGTCAATTACTTCTTTTTGTAAAAATATTTGTGCATTTATTATTTTTTTTCCTTTCACTTAAGTGGTGAGACTCAGGCTATCAGATTTACTCTTCAATCTACCACTTAACTGGAAATTTGCAAGGGATACTACCACAGAAATTTCACCAACATTTTAATAGTCAGGCCTGTTGTCATTTTTTAATAAGGGCCAAAAGGTTTCACTGTCCTTTAAAGGGAACACAATATATTTTTATTATTACTGCATTTTAGCTCAATATGCCCAAATCTTGTGAGCTAACATGAATTCTATTGTGTACCTGCCTATTTTTTATTGCAATTTCATTTTTTAATTATGATTCAAACATTACCTTCCCTCACATAATGTTCTGTGAACTGTATTGTTAACACTATTAGTCGCATTAGAATTGTATTTATAATATATTTGTTAATAATATATTCTTTTGCACAATAATAATACTTTTCTCAATTTTATCAAAATATTCTTGGTCATAGCAGATATATGATTGCAAGAGATTATTTATTTATTTTTCAACAGATATAAACCACCAATTACATGGGCTCCCTAATTAACTATTAAGATCTGGTTATTTTGTGATGTTTTGTTTTGTAATCTGAAAGTCTAAAACACAGAATCATACATCTAATGTAGAAAATGTTAGAATTTTTCAAAAAGCTCTTAATTTCCTCCTGCACAGAATAAATCTCTCAAATAATTTCATTGAACAAATTTGAAAGTTGAACAAGTTACTACAACAGCTTCTCAGGAAATCAAATAATTTTACCTCGAAGTTATATTCTGTGTCAACCGTTTTTTCCAAGAAGATCTATCATGTATGGTACCATATCGGCAATATTACATATCATGTACTTGCGATCACATACACAAGTTAAAAATATGTACTGTTCTATTATGTGACAATACACATTTGTATAGTGTTGAATTACATTAATCACTAGGGAATCTGCAACACACAATGTAATGCAATGCATGCTCTGATCAATACTCCATTCAACATTGGAATTGAACCAATACATACCACATAACATCACTTGGAAAGCACAGAAAAATGATGTGAAAAATAATTTTAATAATAAAATTGTTGCCAGCACCATAAGAAAATATCAATATTGAAGGAATCAGAATTGGAGTAAAAAAATTATTTACTGTAATGAAGTAGTTCCATCTACAATGATGCAAGTCGGTCAACTGTAGAAGAGAATTTTGCTAAATAACCATACTTGTAGTTAACAACAATAAGAATAACACCTAAAAATACATCACCCTTTGTGATCCAACATCAAATGGATTTAATGTCAGAAAGTTTGTGTTCAGCCCAACACGGCAAGTTCATGGAAAAACCCAGTGTGAAGAATTAGAACTTCAAATAGTTAAGTTAATATGAAGACAAACAACAAGAATTATGTATCCAGAGACTTTGAGAAGATTCATAAATCAATGTACCTTTATAATAATATATTTGTATTATTTCCTTTCCTCGGAACGTAATTGTGCACGACTCAAACAATCTTCCAGACCTACGAGTGTAAGTGCCCTTGTGCATTTCATTGATAAGATAGATTAACACACAAAGATGAGATGCTGCCAAATTTTCTCATGATAGTAAAAAATGTTGAAAATGCCTTATGTGATTAGTGAACAGGACATGAAGTGGAGTTGAATAAAAAGTTTGGAATCAGTGTTACAAGGTTTCCAGAAGTTAGGCAGCTTGTCCATTAGGTGGCAGACTTTACACAATGATCCTAAAAATCAAAACTCAAAGTAAAAGATACGATGATGGTACCATTTTGCCAATTGCTACAGAAAAATTTAATTCAGTCTACAGAATAACATGTAATACACTTTCCCAGAATTTATTAATGAAATTTTCGATTAAATCTAATATCAAAGTGAAAATGGCCAGAAGCTGACACAGTAATAATTATTGTTTATAAATATACAAGCAAATTCAATGCACACTACTAAGACATTACTAAAACATTGTATTATTCGCTTAATGAAACTGTCAACAAGAGGCAAAACCCACCTCTTTAAAAAGCATTCCAGAGACCACTGACTAATTTCTTTCCATAATTCACAAATTTATTGATTTAACTCGAAATAATCACGAAATATTGATTTAACAGAAGTGATTCAATTATGAGAAACACTATGTAGGTAAAAAAGAATGGCCTGTTTTGGCAACAAAACTATTTTTTGGGGAGACTGAAAAAAATACTATTAATTAAAAGAAAACAATTATGCTTATAAGAAAAAATATAAAGAATTTCTAGACTTATGACATCATCTCAATTTGCCTTTTTTGTCAGTTTACTGGCGATCTTGGGGCATATGTTGTCATGCCCCACAACCTGCCGCTGGATAGAAGTTATTTTAGAAAAAACACATCTAAAGTATTTTCAACATATGTAAATTGAATTAAAAATCAAAAGAAAGGAAAAAAGTTATGAAGAGAACATTTTTAAACATACCTTCCTTTTATATGTGGATCCTTTCAAATCATACTTTTGGTGTAGGCGAACTGTAGAAGGTAGTAGATTGTTCATTACTGCCAACCTAACATTTTTGGAATTGCATTGGTAACAGTAGAGACCAAAAAATTTTGGTAATAAAGTACGGGGGTTCTGGTTTAGATTCTGCAAATAATTTGAACAGCATTTGTTAAAAAATAATCTATAGCATATAAATGTGCTTCAGTATCTTCCATGATAGCAAAATACCATATAATATCCAGGTAACAGCTTCTGCAAGAATTCGCCTTCTTTATGTTGCACTGTTTTAATGATGAATTCATCATCTACTGTGAGGTAGAAAATACTGCCACTGGCACCAGGATTTGATAATTCTCTCATAGGTGCACTACACATCGAAATCTATAAAGTAGAAAACATTTAGCATAATGAACTCAAATTCCAATTATCAAAGATTTGAAAAGAAAATTAAAACTGTTTCATGCCTGAACATTGACTGGCTAAAAGTATATTCAGAAGGGGGTTGACATATCTGGAACCAAGAGGTTCAAATGGATTAATTATTATTATTATTATTATTATTATTATTATTATTATTATTATTATTATTATTATTATTTGAAAGTAACTGCAAAGAGACTGTACTAAATGCTTTAAATAAATGTACATTGAAAAAACATTACTGAGTGATAAATTACAAGTTCCACAGCAACACTTGTAAGTATATTTTTGCATATTCTCATTAATATAAAGTAGTGATGTTGTCCTTATATTAATGAGAAATACTAATGTTTGAAAACTTCTAGTTTTTCTACAGAGAATGAAATTAAAATCAATACTTTAACCAAACGATTGTGATAATGATTGTCGGCATTTAACTTCTATATTATATTGTGAAAAATCTTACGCATTTATAAGATTTATATCAACAACCCCTGTGCATTCAACTAAGATTCTATTACATTGTTTTTAGACACATGAATGTATTTTCTTACATTATTCCCACACAAGAACTGTTTGTTATAAGCTTATTGAAAAAATAACCTGCGAGAGATACCAGTGTGAGTCTTTGGTCGATGCAATCTCTCACAGTTTAAATTATTGATGGATAACTAATGATTAGATATTTCTGAAGCAAGTGTACTCATAAAATGCATAAAATTTGAAACCAAGTAGCAATACATGATTTTATAATCATTGTGAATGAATAAGAAAATATTCCCTTACTGCGACTACAGGATTATTTTTTTGTCTCAGTCACTAAAAAATCATTAACACTATCTAAATAAAACGACCTCTATCACATCTTAGACAATGGAGATTACAAAACTCCCTAACTAGCCTAGAAAGTGAGCCCATATTCTCTAGTCAGTAATTTGGAACTGACAAAGAATTAACAAATCAGACTGGAAGGAAATAAGATAAAAAGGGGGGAAAAGTTAAAAATAATGTTAAAAACTACAACAAAAATGTTAAATTTATTCCCTGAAAATGAGAACTCATCTTAATATTTCACATTTATTATTTAAACATACAGCTGCTTTCTTTAAATCAAAATCAACTTACCAAGAAGTCATCTGGTTGAATACCAAACAGATCTCGGAAATAGCGAAATGCAATAGGCGCATAGGTACGAAAACGAAATTCAGAAAAATGGTGAGCAGGTGTGTGGCTCGAGCCATCTGAGGGAAAATTTGTTGTTTCTACTGTCATAAAATCTTGCATAAGAAGATCTCTTTCAGGTTTGGAAGCCAAGCCTCCAACAGCATGTTGAATACCCAACTGTATAGAACCCATAATTTGTGATGTTTGAATCTGTAACATTAAACATTTGTAAGTCACCAAAAAGAAATTAATGATTTGGTTGCAGTATTAAAATCAAAAATAGTTGAGAGAAAACTTTTTCCGTATTCACACATTTATGGGCACTATAATCATAGAAATATCAACAAAAACCATTAACAAAAGTAACGAAGGAAAGATGAAATGAAATTATATAATTTGGTATATTAATAAAAGATACATCTTTAATAACAATTATAGAGTATCAATTTATATTTGTTAATAAAAATTTAGAAAATTTATCACACATTCGTTCACACCCAAAATTGTTCGTTTTGGTTCATTTAAAGCAAAAAATTATAACTTTTTTTAGACTATTAAAAGAACAATGTTGATTTGACAATGAGTGTATTCCAGTCTGTTATATCTGTTGACATTACATCTCCATAAATATTCGATGAATGAGAATTGTAAATGATTTTCTATGATTTTTCATATTCACAAGCTATTTAGAGATGCAAATTTCCAGAACCAATTTCACAATTTGTTTTGTTTTTCTTCTTGCACATTAACTTCTGCTTCTTCTGATTTAAAAATTTGTAAGAGGACTTATTTTTTCAATATCAACCCTTGCAGCAATCTTGTCAGACCAAAAGAAAAACAACATTATCTGAATCATATTGTTAATTTCTGCTTAGTTTGTGTGTCTAATGTCTTTAAATTGTATCATGCCTCCTTAGATTAAGTCAAATTAAATGAAAACCATCATAGGGGCATGACACCGTGAGATCTGCTATTAACTGTACAGCTACTTATTAGGGCACACTAGAGTAATATCCACTATAAAATAAAATCTTAAGAATTCACAGGTAGTCAGAAATTATTTGATAAGCAATGGGATTTCTGCATAAAGAAGGGGGAATGGTTCTGAAAATCACAAGATCATAAAAAATTCTTCAACAAAACTAAATGTAATAATAATGAAGCATGGGGTCAAAAACCTTCCATGCAATCTCTCACAGTTTAAAATATTTACAATGATGGATAATTGATAATTAAATATTTCTGTAGCAAGTTTACTCCAAAATGCAAAAAATTTGAAACCAACCAACAAGAAAATAGAAATTACATAAAAATATATTTACCTATTTATTACATTTATGAATATCAATGAAAATTTATAATACAGTTAAACGTGCTCACTGAGGAATGTATAAATTGCGGAATCTGCCCAATGTGAACATGATATGCAGTCCTCCCAAACATATATTCTGCTGTATTATAATGCATAATGTGGACTCTTGTGTAATATGGAAAAAATACTAATCCCTTGATATTCCACATTGAGCAAGTTTTACTGTATTATAAATTTTCATTGATTTTCAGAAACACATATAAGAAACACAATTATAGATGCAAATTCAGTCAATACTTAAAAGAGGAAGGCCATATTAGTAGAAAATGACCTTAATTTTTGCCAGTAGAGCAAAAAATCAAAAACAATAATTACTGCTGCATCTATTTATCATTGTACTATAAAGTCAGTTAAAAGAGGATAATTTAAGAAGAAAAGTCTTACCTTCTTGTATGTAATTTCCCCTCCCACTCCAACACGCCTGTGTCCGATTTTTCTCTCTCGCTCCGATTTGTGGCGAGAGATACCAGTGGGAGTCTTTGGTCCAGAGGCATTTTGAAGAGAAACTGCGGCTGACATCTGAAAAAGTTATTCATTATAAAAATTTCTCATAGAAGACATTCCAAAGCATAATGTAAACTAGAGAGGAAAAAAATAAAATTACAAAGAAAAACTTCTCATGACGAAGATTTTATAGAATTAGCTGATTCGTACACAGAATTTGCATCAAAACAATCATATACTAAGTAAGAATACAATATGAAAAAAAGGTGTTTGTCAACCACACTAAAACCCTCAAGACATTTTCAAACTGAAGATAAAACTTATGCTACTATTCACTTGTGAATTCCAATTATATTGATATTCAATAAAGGAAACATAACAATTACTTTCAAAATTTGTCATATTGTTATCTAGCATCTTTTCTCTACCGTGATTTACTGTGTTTGAGTAACGTATTTACTTTCTCAGAAGAAAGTTATAAAAATCAATAAGAAACTAATTTTTTGTAGGATTGTTGTCTATTGTTCTGAAAACTATAATACAACATTTGAAACACAGATGCACTGAATATGAACTTTTGTGAAAACTTTGAAAAGTCCAGAAGTATAATGCAATGTATGAAAAAACACAGGCATTTTGGGAAATATTTTATGGACAGTTTTTGCTGGGTGTGGATCAGGGACTGAGGGATGGACATTTTGAGGAAAGAAAGAGAGAAACAGAGGGAGGGAGAAAGGGAGAGAAAGGGGGAGATTGGGGGGAGAGAAAGAGAGGGGGAATGTACTTTCCCCTTCACTGTTCGCATCGGGGAAATGAGGAAAGGGGAAGGGAACGTGAAGGGTCGACGATCCCTTCTGTATTGTCTGTGGCGTTAGGTGCTGCTCCCGGATTCGGCAGGAATTAATTAGAGAACCGCCGATTAAAGCAGACGAACTACGACCGGGATCGAAACAGCGACCTCCAATGATCGATAATCGATCTTTGTTTACTCATGGGCAATGCAAATTCATTTCGAACTATATAAGCGGTCTCAATGGTGAATGGCAAGGGTGTTCATACAAATGGATTTGCCAGATTACAACAAACTCTCTTATTTCTTATCGTTCTTTATTATTTCACTTCGAAAATCCAAACGATGTACCATCATTCGTAACCCGCCGCCAACCCTAGTTCAGGACAGATGGCCAAGCAAACTGCAGAATGATTATCAATTGATTGTACAAACGTAGCTTAATGATGATTCTCTTGTTAACATTTGTCCAATAAAATGCAGAAAGAAATTTCTAGCAAACAAATACTACCGTCCGACTTACGAAATTACATATTCGTTTCCGCTTAAAAAATCCAAATTCCAACGGCAACATGCAGTTCCCTGCCAACGGTGATCGCCCATGACTATTTCTGTAATAGAATGCTACTTTTAGCCAAAACATTCCCTTTAATATCTACCGAAGCGAGATAACTTCACAGAAATATCACTTTGATGCGTTGTGAATGAGGAAACACGAGAAGGGGGAAATAGTAATTTGATAAGCCGTTAAACTTATCCCTTCTACAGAGATTTAATTACACTATCGCAGTACATCCACAAGAATGCGAAGTTGCCCTGTTTCTCTCAATATATACGAAGGGAGAAAATTAATTGTCTTCATCTAGTCGCACGTGGGTTGAAAATACCGGTTCCATATGAAAACAGCAATCTCAGTTTTACCTTAAATTTCGACGTAAACCCCTCATAAGTTCTACGCGCATGACTCGCTGTTTCTCCATGTTTCAGTTCCTACCCTGAAGTGATTTTCTTCGCAGTTCTCGGAATAACTTCCTAGACCGCCCAATGTTCATGCATATAAATCTTTGTTCTACCAAGGAAAAATGTATTTAGAGAATAAATTAAAATCGGGAAAATAGGGTTGATACGGATGCAGTTTAAAGATAATTTCGTTTATTTTTTGGGAGGAGACCTTAAATGGGCTGGTGCGTTATAGGCAGTGGAACACCTTTTTTGCCATTCCGGGACGTTTTTGTCGCGATAGCTGCCTTGAGTCTGTCCGGGAGCAATGAATAGTATACCGCCAGAAAAGAAGGCCCTATACGAGCAAGCTACTTGATCAAAGGGTTCCTCATCATCATTATCATCATCATCATCATCATCATCATCATAATGCCTTTATTAACGGCGAGGCTCCGGCCATAGCGCCTGCTCTACCGCCTAACCACTTAATTTACACACATATGGTGTAGTAACACTTTAAGAGGGGCTATACATTTACGTCTGGGAGAACAAGTCTAGGGACCATCCCGGTATACGCCTTAAGCGATTGAGTAAACCCAGAAAACCCCAATCAGGATGGCGCTTAGGGCCGAACATCATCAATTTACGGAAAAGTGGAAGAGAAGAAAAAATAAGAGAAAGGAAACATAAATGAAAATGTAGAGGAAAAACAGGAAGAGAAAGAAGAGAGATCGAGAGGGGGGGGGGCAACCTGTACGTTTACGTCTGGGAGTGCAAGAAAAGGGACCATCGCGGCGTAGGCCTTAAACGATTGAGTAAACCCAGGAAAACCTCAATCAGGATGGCGGCTTAGGGCCGCACATTAATAGAACTGAGTATGTTGTACATAGTAGTTTAGGGAAGTTTCGTAAAAGAGAAAAGAAAAGACGTACAGGGGAAGGGGTCATAAAATAAAAATGATAGAATTTTGAGGGAGAGGGAAGAGAAAAAGCGAAGAAAAGGATGAAGAAGTAGGCGAAAAAAGTGAAGTTATTTGAGGAACGTTACAGAAAGCTACGTTTGGTTTATTTTACATAAATATAAAATCATTTTAACACCAGAGAAGCACAATACACTGTAAGCAAATAACAACAGTGATTTTAAACATAATACTGGCAGTATTAAGGAATAATATAAAGAGTACTGGTATCTTAACATCAATTTTGTTTATGCCAATATATTGTAATAAATATCATCATGATGGTACAAAGATGGCTACACAAGGTTCAGTCGGATTGACAGACGCTTCAATTAACCCTTTAATCTTTTGATCAAAACTAATACTCAATTAAGTTGCTGACTCGGAAAGTGTGTCTGTCGTGAAGTGTTGTGAAACGTGGAACACAGATTTGGCATTTCTTGCCTTGACATTGCTTGTCCTCATGCCAAAAAAAAAGAGTTATGAGGAAAAGACGTTGGTTCAAGGTGCGGTATCAAATGAGAAACCGCCTAACCCGTGAACATTTACTCAATGTTCTATGTGATACGGAACCAGAAGGCTACAGGAACTTTATTAGAATAGAAATTTTTTTTTACTGAAGTTAGTACGGCCCCAATACAATAAAAGACGACACAAACATGCGTGAAGCGATTCCTACAACTCAGAGACTTTCCGTCACATTGAGGGAAATTCCTGTGTAACTATCACAAGGATGGTAAACTGGCGCTCCAAACTTCCAGAAATATTACACTGCTTTTTTCGCGAATTTTTAAAATTTTCAGTTTCCGCATTTTGTGGAAGCAATGTGTCCTCCATGGCGGCCGACGAATGATTGACGAAATGCTTCATCAAAATTTGCCTACACGGTTCAACACCCTCGTCAACCGCCTGAGCCATTCAAACTTGATAGAAAAAGACGTAACGTTCGGGGTCCCGCAATGCGGGCGGGTCCACGTAAAGCAGGGCCCTATTTTTAGGCTGAAGGTTTTGCAAATGTAAGAAATATTAATTACTGGATACACTCTGATACTTTGCGATAGTTGATACTATAAAATATTACAAATAGCATCATTTAGAACAATTGTTTCCCCATTTCGGTAGCTTATGTAATCCTGTTTCTAAATCAATGTAATCTGTTAGTAACATTGATTTCGTATAGTAATCATAGACTGGTGAAAAATAATTTGTTAAAGGATATTTTTTATTATTTAAGGTACTAACACTACTTCGGTTTGCTTTTCACTTTTATAAAGGAGGCTCGGATTGCGGGCGGGCCCGCACTCATTTCGTTACGCTACTGGGTCAATCATGCTTGATTGAAACGATTGACACTCTTGTTTAAAATTATTGACCGTCTGGGGTCTTCTTTAGTTCTTAGGTAGCTTCACATCCCAGCTGATGAAATTGAGCTCATTTTACCTTTCCCGTAACCAATTCTCCTTTGGCAGTCCATCTTTTTACTTTCTCGCTACCGCTTATGCAGTAGGGAAACAGCTATGTATTGCGCGAAAAAACGGCGAATTTTCGGCAGAAAACTCATATTACGAGTCCCCTGTAACGAAAAAGCGGATAAATCCAGTTGTTAAATATTTGAAAAAAAAACTCAAACACGTGGTGTAGTCTGTCCGCTAACTGCTAAACTGTTCAGCCGATTTTCTCCAAAAAATAGGTATTCCCCAATCGATCTGGCTGATATTGTGGCCCCTTGAATTTGAAACCGATATTTAATTTTTTTGGAGGGGTGAGGGTATTTTACACGAAATAGCCCTCGGCGACTCGTTGGTGAGCGTGCTAGCTTTCCACGGCGCAACCCCAAGTTCGATTCCCGAGCGGGTCAAATTAATAACTGCGCTTTCCTTGCAAATGTCCCAGTATTACTGTGCCACAATGAGAAAGTACACCCTAAGGTTATGAAGACCAGAATATACGACGAAGGAATGTCTTCGTGCTAATCACACAAACCCCTTATCCCATGGCCGGAGGGAAACGCTGGTCGGCCAAGGCCCATAGCGGGCTGTCGATCCATAGGACAGGACAGGACAGGGCATTACATGGCGCCACTGGGACATTTTCCAAATTTTCAACAACAAAAATACTCCATCGTTTTTTATTACATTTTGTGGTTGGATAATGTGAAGGGCGTTTAAGAGATTGGCGCAGGTCTCATTTTCCTTGAAACCTCCGATTATTCAAAAATTCACAAACTTTTTTTTCGGCGTCTTCCTACAACTACAATTATGACGATAGAGATTTTTTCCCTTAATAAAATTTGTTCCTTAAAGATAGATTTCGAAATAAGGTCATATATCATTTTCCGAAAATCTGAGTATTTTTTGCGTGAAAGTACGTGCTGTTTTAGCACTAGTTTACTGTTGTTAATTAGCTACTGCAGGTAATAATGAATCTAAATTTCCATTGATAGCTAAATCGTTGGAATCTTCCTGAAGATGCAAACAACCGACACATGTCCGCATGCTATTTCGTTTGATGTAAGAAGTAAGCAAACTCGGCACCCAAATTGCGCGAAGTTTTCAGTTTATCGTGCACAATTAATTTTCTCGATAAACTGACACACTTGTGGCCTCTGCTAACTCACACGCTGTCACTCGCCAGTCATCCAGAACACAACCACGAATATTATCAATGTTTTCTGACGCCACGGAAAAGTCTGGCTCCTCACGACACATCTTCGAAATTTGTTCTGCCTCGCATGTATTCGCTGGACCCAAGTCTCGGACTCAAAGGAAGGAACATCAGTCGCTCAATATCAGTGCAATCCTTTCATCATCTTCGCATTTTTTTCCCCTTCCTGAATAAATCAGCAAAAAGTACAAATTTAAGAAATTCTCCACAAACAAAAAAATGGAGTCATTATTTTTTGCTAGACTATTTTTTTAATAATATCTAGTTCTAATACCGTCTCAATTTTCCTCCCCGACTTCTAACAATTCAATAAATTCCGATTCCCCCTCCCCCCGACTTTTTCAGAGCAATGAAACTCCTCGGTTTTTTTCCGGTTTTCCACAAAGTGGCTATACTGTTACTTACGGAACTAACAGAACTGTCGGTCAAATGCCCAGCGGAACAATGTCCATCGAAGTCACGGAATCTTGAAAGTATATAGGAAGTAGTTTGACATCATTTCTACTTCTAAATGGGGGAAGAGAGTGCTCGCGATATTAAACTATTTGTGGAAGAGAAGGCACTCAACGACTGGAATAGCTTTTGCAACAAATTCACGTTCAAATTTAGGTTTTGATTATTTCGTGTTTCCGGACGCGTAAACTGCTGTGGTCTTTAGTCCCATAAAGCTTTTGAAATTTTATCACGGGAGGTGGCAGTAAATAAAAATTGGGGTTTGCTCAATGTTTACACGGCAACAGATGCCCTTTGCTAACAATCAAACTTAACTTTTCATTAAAAATGGATCCAGTAATTTCTAAGTTACTACTTTTTTCCGGCACTGGACCCCAATATTAAAAGAAACTGAAATATGAAAGCAAAGTTACTTTTGATAATGCTCAATTTATAACTTTGGTTGTAGCCTAATGCATTACCAAATAATTCTGAAGAACTATATTGTAAGTACACGCATCTACCATTTTCTACTAACACTGAGAAAATCGCGAGTTCATATACTCGAAAAGTAAGGCATAGGTACAAATTTAAAGATCCTTTGTAAACTAACATTTCTTTTAATTTACAGCACGAGTAGTATTGAATACATGATCAAACTAGAGGAGCTACAATGGCACACTCATTCTTGCATCATTTGCAACTTTTGCAGTATTCGAAAATTCAGAGTTCAACAAAAATAAAGCCTGTGCCCTTTTTAGGCGTACTTTGCACGCCTCTTCCAGATTTTTTTCTAAGTTGAAGCAGAGTTTCAAAACGTTTTTTAAGTTGTTTATATTTCGCACAAAATTACGCGAAAGCTACTCAAATTTTCGAAAACTTGTTCATGACTATTTCAAGATGCTCTTTCGAAGAACAAATTTGATTAAGTTAAAAAATCTCTAGCTTTAATGTTTTACTTGTAAGAAGTCGACAAAAAATTGAAAGTTTGAAATTTTCGAAAATTCAGAGTTTAACGAAAATGAGACGGGTGCCATTTTTTAACGTACTTTACCCGAGAAAAATAATTCAAAAATTTGAAGTAATTTTTGAGATTTTAAAAATGATTTTTCATATACACCTCAAAATAAAAATTCCTTTCAAATTAGCACGGCGTTGGGTTCGGCCAGGACCGGCGTAGAATTCAAGGAAATCGTGGGAACTGTTCAGTTGCTAGTGTTGGCCGCAATGTGTGGACAAAGATACTGATAGACTAAATAGATATTTGGCCGTCAAGCAATTTTTCGGTATCAAAGACACACAAAACGGTAAGAAATTTACAACATTCGGGAACGTGTTTTATCCACTTTTTTTATATCAGGGCTCCACAATAACAGCTTCCTGACGAAACATCGCCACTCTCCGCTGCAGGATTACAATACTTTCTCTTTACTATGTATCAAGAAGTAATTTTCCACAAACTCAAAGAAACAATTCTGAACTCTTCAAATTTCCAGAAATATTTTTTTATGGGAATGCCTTTTAATTGTGAACATTTTTCAGTACGTAGATGAACAGGAGCCAATGGAAAATGGACAATAGTAATAAAAAGAAATTGAATAAAATGTGGATGGGAAAAAACACTGCTAGATGCGCCAAATTTTATTTACAATACAAACAATTTTTCATAAAAATAACAATTGTTTTGTCGTTAAGAATATTTATTCTTCCAGGCATTGATGCATCTTTGGCCTATTTATTTTGAACAATGCCTAAAGATGTGCTCTTTATTCATTATAGTTTTGTAGTTTAAGCAGAACATATACCACAATCATATAAATCAGGTGCCTATTAAAATTATTCTCAAATTGACATAACAATGAAATTTGAACTTGCAGGCCAATAAAACACTGCTGAGAACAGAAAACAACAAAAACCATCTAATCTACATCCAATTTCAACAATATTTACAGATGAAATTGTATGTAAATATGTCCAGACAATGGAGTATTCCTCACATTGACCCAGTCTTCTAAAAACATATGAATTTTATGGAAACGTCTGCAAAAGTAGCATGATACAAAAAGACAATAGAAGTGACATCTCAATTTAATGTTCTAGATAATATCTTTGAAAGTATCTAGAGTCAAATGCACTTCCACTAAATTAATCTATTTGGCATTAATTTATTTTTATGGCACACTTCAATTTTGGACTTAAGAATCATGTGATAACAATATTAAGGATTTATACATTTTGATATATGGTGCATAAGGATTAGATTCTCCTTGAAATGACAGAAAAGGAAGTAAAAGAAATGGGTTTTAAACAAAACAATCCCTTTTCAGTTTTAAAAATCTGGTGGTACGATAAAATACAGAAATGTTGACAAATTACCAATGATAGGGTATCCTCTAATTTAAAAGAAATTACGTTACATTGAGGATAAGATAAAAAACCGACACAAAAATAAATTATAAATATATAGATTTCTAAGAAGAAAAAGCACAAGTTCACAGCAAAATAACCTAAAAACACACACATTTATAGCTCCATAGTTGTGAACAACCTCCAAACATTCTGAGTTAAGGCAAGAAAAAATATGCAAACTACTCATGGAACTTTGTTCTCCATGAATTACTTCACTCATCACTGATTACATTATACATTAACTTCAGCAATAAAACCATCTCTGCACATGAGCGCAAATAATTTGTGTACTTGGGTGAAGTAACTCACAACTTTCCATGAGGCTTTCATGTAACTTTAAATTAACCAACACGTTGCTGATCTTATTTTTTAAATAAGAAATATATAAATTATTCTAATATTTTATTGGCCTCTTCGAAAGTTTTGACGAATGTACAAGTTTATACTTAATTTAACTTCACTGCAAATTTGGTCTTGTTTAAAGAATCTAAATAGCCTTTCATAGCTTTTTCTTAGTACCGATAAAAAAAGATCAATATAAGTAACAATAATTCTGAACCCAGCATATCCTGATGCAAATAACAAGCCTACATTAAGGATGTTCACAAATAATAAAATAGAAAGTATTCACAAGTAATAAAACTAAATTTTGAACAGCCAACAAGAATGGAAAAGTAGGTTCCACATTACTTTTAACACACTATTTTATTTAACTATTTTGAAACAAACGGCAGCCTATCTTTCTTAAAATTGTAATTAACACTTTTACTTTAGATATCATAAAATAATTTGGTCCTTTTCTTCACACTAAAGATAATAAAATTTCTTATACTAATAACAAATGTAAATAGAAGACTAAAAAACTGAAAGACAGTCATAAGAAGCTCAAATGTCTGACAAATGCGTTCTTAACCTGAATGATTCTACTGGAGATAAAATTGGGCATTTCTGTATTGAAACTCACAAGAGAAACAGGAGGAAAAAGAAATGTGGAGACAGTCAAATAAAGAAAATACAAATACTTACATCCAAAGGGGGAGGGATTCCAGATGACTTGTCTTTGCCTGAAACAAATAAATGCACTTGTCACTTTACAAAACACTGTTTCCTACTGTATAAAATCATAATATAAACCTCATATGATAAGCACTCTCATGAATAAATATGTTCATAAATTACAAATAGTAATATTAATGAATGAACAAATTACACTGTCATATCAACACATCTTTCCTCCCATTCAAAACCTTCAGAACTTTTACACACAATACTACACACTCTTATCTATTTCCATGTGATGGTGCCTTATCTGATGCTATAAAGCATAAATCTACTTATCTCTGGAGACGAATGAATGTGTCAATTCTGTAGTAAACGTCACGGATTCGATATGCCAAAAGCACACATGCACCACCCCTTGATGACAGTAGCCGAGACGGGTTACGCCCACTGATGCTAGTATTCATCCGACTCCACAGATTTACTCACCATCTTCTTCTGCAACTTCAGGTTTCGTATTTTTCTGATCGTCTGCGAATGTCGAATCTAACGACGTTTCAGCAAGTTCTATACCATCTACGCTACTATCCCCGGTGGCCATTTTGTCATCTATGACTTCACTTTAACCAACACCTTCACTTTTGCACGACGTGTGACACTCAAAAGCATATCTGATGATTATGATTTCTGTCTCATGATCGAGGATTCTTCAAGTAAAACAAGGTTCATGCTTGGGTAAAAATTGGCGAATGTTCCCCTATATGCATTAGAGGTAGCTTGGCCACACCATTGAGAAACTCATTCTCCTGTCCTGAGTGGGTGGAAGCAGCGCAGCGGGTGGACTTCATTGGGCAGGACACAATCGAAGGGAGAGCGTAGAAAGAAAGAGAGCGGTATAGTACGAAAATGGGATATCAAATGAAAGTGTCTCCTTACGTGTTTGTATGTATTCTGTTTGCAGAAATTGTATTATGAGTCATGTCAACGATATCAAGACTTTTCACGAAATTATTTTTGCTTGCCATTTATGTTTTTTAACATCAAAATAATCGTATTCTCTCCGTATTATTTAGGTCCTCAGGAAATATACTCTTTTAAAAATTCAGATATGACAAATCCACAGCACTAGTGAATCATCCTTTTCACATTTCGGCAAGATTTTGCATATTTTTGTTCCTTTATTTAAATTTCACTCAAAGGATGATGAAGATGTCTGAGTATTCGCCCTTTGCAAAGCTGAAATGACAGCTCAGCTGACAGTGTTTTGTTCGAGATAGCACATTGACTTCGGTACAAGTGGCGAGCACAGGAGAAACATTCTGCCCGTCCCTCATCAGATCGCGTAAATAAGTATGTGGTAAAATGTCGGGGAAGGCCAAGTCTGAAGGCACAGCCAAAATGTGATGCCTTTTCGTTGTCCTAGCCGACCTTGAGTCTTTGAAGTTCATTTGAATATATCTTCTCCCAATCATATTTACATGACCTCCCATTGAGAAGAGATTGTATCCTTGAAAGTCATGGCTGAAAATACACCTGAAAGTGATTTGGGGAGTATAGAATGTTTTCAGAACTACACGGCGCCCGAAGTTTTTATCCAAGGACTTGCGGGAATCGTGAATCAACAAGATGTTGAAGCTATGATTCGAGCTCAGAAACAGATGTCAGTAACTTAACCTATACATTGTTCAACCATGTATTTTTAATAATTACTACCATAATGTATTTATACATTTCTTTTACAGGCTTCAGAGATTTGAGAAAACAAATGAAATGTTAACCAACTGTAATGCTTTGTCTGTAAATCGTCTGAAGACAGCTGGCACTGAATTTAAGAAACACACACAACTGCTTTTGGAGATGAAAAAAGATTTGGATAATATTTTCAAAAGGATTAGAGTATTAAAAAATAAGCTCTCTAGTCAGTACCCAGAGGGATTTGAAGGTAACATTCATTAGCTTTTATAAAAATAACATTAATTACTACTTACGTAAATAGCATTGGCAGTGAATAATTTCCTTTTCCAGTTGCAGCCCAACAACAAGTTTGCAATGACTTGGATGTTGAAGAAACCTTCAGTGCAGCATGTGCCTCCAAGCACGAGGAGTCTCCTGATTTGCCTCCTCATAATGTGAGCGCAGGTACATTGGAATGTGATACCTACTCTGGAGGGTACAGTAGGCTTTTAGGTAAGTAGTGTATTTTTTATTAATAGGTAGGCCTACTGAATGGATTATGAAAAAACTATTGTGTGATCATCACTGAGAAGTTCTTAAATTTTTTGTCATAGACATTACTTAGTTAAAGTTTAGTAAAAATTTGTATATTAGAGTTCCCATTAATGGTCCAGGAAAGTATTTCTTGGGATAATTCTGCAACTTTAATCCAATTCAAAACGACACCATTGTCTTTGTACTCTTGGGTTATATAGGGTCAACCATGATCTTAGATAATATTCTACGTCTCTCTGTAAGAGTACATAATTGTTTCCAAGGTCTTATGTGAAGAACGTTTTGAACTATAGAGATACATGATGAGGCAATCCAAAAATATATGGCCCATTAAACATGTTTTTGACACGTTATGATGTCCTAATGCCCAAATTTGTCATTTGTATTAGAGATAAACATTTTATTTAAGAAAGCAGTGTTATTCTCCAATTAAAACTAATCTCGAGTTGACAGCTGATCAACTGGGGCTGTTATCCAATCGGGAGCATCAATTTTTTGAATGGAAGCTCTCGATAGGATAACTGTCTCAGTTCTTTGATACATGATGCATTACTACATTGTATGTTCCCTTGCTGTAAAAAAGTTTCATTCATGATCGCATCTCCACCTCTAATTGTATGATAATTTTTCATGTCTTGAAATCTAAACCATTTTGTATAATAATTACCTTTTTAGAACATGCATTTTCTGAAAGTGAAAACTACTTTGTAGGAACTTTTTATTTACAAATTTTTATAGCTTAATTTGAAAGATTCACAGGAATATGGTAATTCAGATTTTGTAATTTATTTATAAAATCACTCTTAAACTCCCCAAAGGAATATATTTACCACTCTATCTCCAGCTTATCTCTTATTTATAGTATGCGCTAGATACTTGAACAAATTCAGTCCACCACAATTTGAAATATTGCATTTCCTTTCTCATTCTTTTCCTAATTTGTCTGAGTCCATTTTTAACTATCAGGTAAACTTCATTAAAACTGATTTAGAGTGTTTATCATAATTGTGTCATAACTTGCTTCTTCACACTTCTGAGAATACTTTATTGAGTATGCGTTGCAAAAGTGATCCCTTAATTACTCCCCTCTTTTGTAGCACTTCAAGGAATTTCTTATTGATGATGATAAGAATTCATGACTATTTTCCCATGAACTCACAGAATAATTGTTTGTACGTCAAATTTGTCATTTTTTGTCACCATGTTATATTTAGGTGATAATCAATTATTACAAGGTAGGCAAATATTCCTTCAATCAGATGTTTCGGCTGTTTTTGAGTCTGTGTGTGTATGTGTATGTGTGTGGATAGGGTTTCTTCTTGCTTTTTTCTATTTATGTTGCTTTTAACACATTTTAATTTTGCTTATTCTTTCTGTCTCTTAAGTTAACATAGTAAATTAAATAAAAAAAATAAATAACTTCATTGTTTTGTCTCTGTAACGCAAAATTTTTATTCATTTATCAATTCATATAATTATATATTCTATTGAAAAGAATTGTTCCTTCTTTTATTGCAGCTGTAGTAGCTTTTGTAGCATTGGTAGTAACAGAAGCACCTGAATTCAAATATGTATTAAAGCTTTGATAAATCCCAATGTTTCTGGGCTCCTAGGTTTCATGGCATGAATAAAACTTGTATTTTTATATTATCTCCTTTATTTCCTCCTCATCTTTGTGAATTTGTTTTATTTCTGGGGACAAGTAGATGCTTCTTTATATATCCTTTATTCATCTCACTACTCTCTTACAAAATTCTTGCCAGCATGCCATATATCCTGATTATTATTATTATTATTTTCTCCTCCCTTTTTCCCTCCTTTCTACTTTTCTGTCAATGGCCCTTTCACCAGACAGCAATGGCACAGGATGTAACTAATCATAAGTTTTTATGTACTTTAGTTTGTTTTGTTATATATTTTTTATTATACTTACCACAGTCATTTTCTATCCAATTTTTTTAGCTCTGGTCTTTTCTTTTCTCTTTCCTAGTCATTTTTAAAATATTTATTGATCGGTACACTTTTCCTTCTTGAAAATGCAACCAAATTTTTGCAGTACAAGAAATTATTTCTGGAATACCAAGTTCCGATAAGTTCAATTCCAGATCTTGTTAAGTGATTTTATAGAATTTCATTTTACAGTAACAGTGTAATGTAAGTGATAATGGAAATTTGCCAAAAATGTGTATTAAAAATAATGCTAATTTTAGATTAATGTGTCAACACATTGATTTTTATGTAGGTGTACATTTTAAATTTTCTTTATTGAAAAAATAATGAAACATAAAGCTGTCATAGTCCTTTGGCTTTCTTGGAGTGTTACTAACTTAAAAAAAAAATACTTTTCACTAAGTGATTATGGAAACATTTATATTACTGCTTGATATGCATCTTGTTCTTACCAAACAGTGGTGTATAATGAAATGAATGGTAGGATAATAAATTTTTTCGTGTATTTTTCCGTTATTACCAAATCCAACAATTTGTTTCATCTTCACATTTATTTAACTTGTCTCACAGGTTGGCTTCCTCTTTTCTTTTATCTCATGTGTTAACTGAATTCCTGGCTCTAATAAGGAAAGGCATTTACCAGATTTCTAAATTATTTCAAATAAAATTAAAATCCTGATGTAAAATAATATTTCTTGCAGCTTTCTGTACTTTCTGAACTCACACATTTGTACATGCTTTTGTATTTGAAAAAAGTGTATTTTATTAACTAAAATATTGACATTCAGGGTAAGTAGGTAAGTAAAATTAAAATGTGGAAAGATGAGGGTTAGTATGAATAGACATGTATTTTTCTTATGAGTTTACTTTAGATTTAATTGCGATGCAATTTGTCTCAGAAATAGAATGTGTAACTTCTATAGAAGATTGTTTCCTGAAATAATTTCTTCTCTCATTTTTAATTTCAAATATCACTCTAATTAATGACTAATTAAAAGGGAATATTATTCTCCCCCTTTTTTTAATACTTAATTCTAGTTCTACTCTATTTTCTCTTGCCCTTAATAGTGGGGTCTGACATATTAAGACTTACTCCTAAGATCTAAAAAGAAGCTGTGGTGGTTCTTCAAATATAACTGTGCAACTTGTGTACACACAATTTGAAATTATGCAGATATGTTTATGAATTCTCCAAGGTGGCAGATGTGACTTTCAATATCTCAAATTTCTCCTCATCTATCCCCCCTTTCCTATTTTTTTAAATTTTATTTAACCAGCAAAAATATTCTTTATATCTGTGTTACCTATTTAAAATACTACAATGAAAGCCTGCTTTTACTTTACTGGTATTTATTTTCCCACGATCTATGCCAATTTTGTGCAGATTCACAATGGAAAATTGTCCCCATTTTTACACTTCTGAAGGTAATCTTTTCTGCCCCCCCCCCCCCCACACACACACACACACACACACTTGACAGTGCAAAACCAAAGGAGGACAGAATGACGAATTCTCTTATATGTTTGTTTGTCCCCACCGAGTTCTAGAAATACTTGGCTATTTGTGATCAAGAAAAATCAGATTTAACGTAATATTATCCTGAGCTAGATGTATCTATTATCTCAGTTAGGAATATGGCGGGGTGTGTCTCACGAGCAAGTTTACATGGAAGTTACTACAATTTTTATTTTCAATCTAGGTACAATATCATATTTGTTTTTTTGCGCATAGATTAAAAGAATGTTGTAGTGTTCATTCAATCATAAAATTGTTAGAATAACATTATTTTCTTCACCAACACACACAGTATAGAATTAGTTTATTTTGAAGCACAGGGCCTAAAAAGCCCAATAATTTTTCATTGAAGGTTAATGTTACACACAAAATGAACACACAAATTAACTCACAAAATGATCATTCTGTATTTTATTGTTTAAGCAGAAGTAATTTTCCACTTTAAATATTTTTCTGTGATTTACACCATTTTTTCAAACTTTTGAATGATACAAAAGAGGGTTTAGCGTAATTATTATTAAATACTAGTTAAAACTTTAGCTTGTAGACTTTTTTATTTGTGATTTAAATGTGAATGAAAAACAGAAAATACATATAAAATAATAGTTGAATATTTAAATTTATATGTAATCTTCATCAGAAATATAGAAATTATGTGAACAGGCAGTAAAAAATAGAAAGATAAAAGTAAATTATAAGTGAGACACAATTTCTATTAATATTAGGTATTACTGTTAAATAACAATTTTATTTTTATTGGTATGGAATTAAAAGTATGTATTTTTGCATTAAATTTATTCTGCCACAAGGGTCTGTGGACACACCTTTAATTATTGATTGGTATATTATTTTAAACAGAGGAAGCCAGCACCCCTGAACATCATCAGAGGGTGAAGCGAGGAAATAGTTCATCTACTGACAGTCCAAATGGTAACAGCAACAATGAGTCCTCTCCATGTACTTCAGATACAGGATGATTGAAGTTGTCTCGTGTTCACTCTCATGTGCACTGAGTGACAAAGTCATGTTTTCCTGCACTCTTTACCTCAGGGTGAATTATCTTCATAGAATTGAATATACCATTGCTAAGTGTCGTTTCAAAATATAGTTTTCCATTTAGCGTTTTGTTTTTTGTGTACAGCTTCAAAATCATTTTACAGTGAGAAATATTTGAGTGATGTGAATAATACATATAGTTACCGTGGCATGTATACTTTGTGAGAGACATAGAATACAAAGTCTTTTCATCATCATCAACTGTATATTGATGTTAGATAATAATATGAAAAAAAGAAAGAAATGGAATTTGATATTAAGAGTCTATCAATTAAACTGCTTTGGAAAGAATAGACATACGTAGAGTATGTACATACTGTAATAAGTTTTAATAAAGTAATATAAATAGTGTTTCGTGTTTAATGTTAAGTTATGTCAAGTCAATTTTTTCCATATTTTGCATTATTGATTTACAAAATTTGTTCAAAGTTTCATTATTGTTATTATTGTATAAGATTAATTTTGTATATAATGACTGTTTAATTATTGTGTTAATGTGGAATTTTAATTTGTATCAGTGTGTGAAAATATACTCAGTTTTTTACATAATGCCATTTTTGGATTGTTTTATTTGAGCTTGTTTGCAATGCAAATGTGTGTTAAATAAAATGCACGATGTATTTTTATTTGATAAAGATAGGTTCTCCTGTCCTGTTGATTCACATTTTCAATGCTTCATTAAGCACCAGAATTTCCTCACCTTTTCGATACTGTTTAGAACAAACCTTTATTCAAAACTAATGGAGCTACAACAACACAGTGGTGGTTACATAATATAATACTAGCTAAACCCATGGAAAAAAGTCTCATTTTTGAATTAGAGGTAAAAGCACTTGTAGTGGCCGTAGTTAAGATTTTTGTAAATTCTTGGACCAAAGTACTGAATTTGTTATTTGAAACTAAACGGCTGGTTAGCTTTAGTCTTTCTACATAGATTCCATGCCCCAAAACAACTAATTTTCATTACTTTATTTCCAACCACCAATTTTGATCCAGTTGTGGCCGCTTGAAAATTGCAAAATTTGAGTAAGGGTGAGATATTTGACTTTAGTTATACCAAATATAGTGTATTAATATAGTATTTGGTAATAACTAATTGATCTTCCCTCTGAACTTGTTTGACACAAGTCAAAAGAAGTGCCAGGTCGTGTTACATTATTGCAACGTCAATATTTAAAAGATGGTTTCAGCTTATTATTTAAATATAAAATGGGGAAAAAGTAAATAATTTTCATTCGTATTCCTTAGCGTTAAGAGGTATAAGCGGGGCCGCCGAGAGAAAATCGATGTATCAGATGTTATTTCTATATTGTCTTTTCGTTTATCGGTATTTAAATTATATTAGTGGTTAGAATAATATTCACAATTCCTTTAGTATGTTTGGCATATAACTAAAAATAAAAGTCATCAAATCACAAATATATCATTTTTCAAGTTTGCCACCTTATTTGTGATACGTTTGTTTACTTCTTATATTGCAATAACATTCACTTTCAGTCTTTATGCAGACTACAATAACATTGCAACAGCTTCCATTCTCGTGACAATAACCGATGCAGGAAGCAACGTGTATTTAAAGTTTCTCAATTCGTTCTATTAACATATTGTCATTCCGTGTTTAAATGATTGATTTTTGGTCGTTAACACAGAGTAAGAGGATTTATGCAACGCGCGGCTCGCGGATACTCACAGCGACCACAGACACAGAGCTTTCATATAACAAATATATTTATTAACAAGAAAACAAAACAAATATATACACTTAATAATCTACTTACACCCTAGCTCTGATAGACCTACTATCCCCTGATCGCGGGAGCGATCCAAACCCGATTGAAGATGGTTTTGATTGTGGCATTCGCCACTCCTACTTTTGAAGCGCGCACAAAGCCTAGCTTCCGTGACCGGATGTCACGCTGGGACACAAAGTCCGTTCTGGCGCACCAACGGCTGGTTTGCCTCGATCGCAGGAGCGATCTTATCCGATTGAGAATCGGCGTGAATCGTGGCACTCAACCACTCTTCACCTCGGAGCACGCACACAGCATCGCTCCCCCGTGACCGCAGTCACCCAAGGACCTAAAGTCCGCAGGCTTCGTCAACTAGTGACTCGAGCCTCGCGAGCCTGGGCTCGCATATGCACCGTCGTGGCGCCAAGTTTTGTGCACACGCACGAGGTCCTCCCACTGTCTCCGGAACCCACCCACTGGCTCTGTACACTCTGTTATATAGGCGAGGCCCACGTGACCTACTACGTCACGCCACCGCCTCGCTTGTTATAACAGTGAAAAGTTTCTATAAGCCGAAAGACGCCAAGCCTTGTGTCTCCCGTTTCCGCGTTCTTGCCTTTACGGAAAAACCCTTCTTCCTGTGGCGAGGCTAATCCTCTACCAAGCGTCCCCAAATAGATGCCATGAGGCACGCTGGCTAATACGTTACACTACCCTGTCGTAACCAGCGCCAAATAGAATACTAGAATACTCTAAAAAAAAAGAAAGCTTCAATTTTTGCTGCAAAGATGGAGGCGCTTTAGCCACTCTATGTAGTATATTATAGCTCGTTATTTACATATATGGCTTCTTGCATTGATGTCCTTGCATATATCTTCACCTGTTAGTGTTGTGCTTTAATACATAACAAATTAATTCTTCAAGTAACAAGATAATAAAATTTGAGTTCCCATTTTACTATGGAATGCATTTATTGACCAATAAATTATTTAGAACACGAATATACTTGCATTTTCCTTGGACTCGTGTGTATTATAGGGTAAATTTGGTCTTCGACTTATATAATTATTACTGGTCGCAGTCTTTGTTTTCTAAATTTTTATTTTCCCTATACTCACATATATATACGGGGTAATACACGTAAAAAAATTAGTATAGGGAAGGTTAAGTAATGGTGCGGAAAATCGATTTCAAGATTTCAGCAAAATACGTTTTGGGGTCCGCTCATCCCAAAAATTGTTGTTTTTCGTTTCAAAACGTCCGTTCAACTATCTGTCCGTCTGAATACTACTAGCGCCTAAACCATACGTACGAATTCTTCCAAAATGGATATTCCCTGGCTGAACTGGCTCGATTCGAGGCGCTGCGATTTTTAAAAACTTTCTTCAAAATTTGGAGGTACTTTACATGAAGACCCTTGGACATTTTCCAAATTTTCTTAAAAACGGCTCCAATTTTCTTTCTTTAAATTTCTTGTAAAAATAAATTAAAATACACTTATAAAGGTGGTATAGGTTCGCTTTTCAGGGATAACTCAATTTTTGAAAATTTTGAATTTTTTTCGGGAGTCTTCATACAACTACAAAATTAAAGATAGAGATTTTCTCTTCAAATAAAATTTGTTATCCATAGCGATTTCTTTCATCGAGGTCATTTTAATTTTTTTTTTTTGAAAATGTTTGTTTGTTTTTTCAAAAATTACAAAAATATTTTTTGACTTGTTAATATTTACATTGATGGTGACTTGTTTAAATTATTTCATTTATGAGTACATGTGCTTTAAATAATATCATGTAATATTTCTTGAAAACAACCGTTTTCTGTGAAAACTAGCTCAAAAATCCACATTTTCAGAAATGTTCAAACGCAATTTTCTCAAAAAGGTCCAAGTTTTTTCTTCAGACCTTCGAATTGGTAGTGCTAATTGCACTCTTTAATATCACGTAAATACTCATTTTATTGTATAATATTGTATTTTCAAATAATTACACAAATGAAATTTTTTTAATGATCTCCCATTCTATTTATATGCACATTCCAGCATTTTGTAAGCACTGTTTTATTTGTGAGTTAGAGTGCTTCAAATGAAGTTTTTCGAAATCTCATAAATTTTCTGAGATAAAGAGCTTCAAATTTCGAATTTACAGTATCGCTTAAACGCCATTTTTGTAAAAAGTCTCCAAATTATTCAAAGAAACTTGCTATTTAGGACGAAGTTTTACTGTTCTTTAATATTTTTAAAACTATGCAAGTGATAATAATGATTAATGACATTTATTTTACGAGATAAAATTGATTCATTCTGTTATAGCTTTATCAAGGTAATTGTAAGATTTATCAATAGGTAATTATACATTTTGATAGAGACTAGCAAGTATACAACATCGCCCTTTTCTCATTTTAATGACCTACAGGAAATGGATAGAAGGGCTATAACTTTTTATACTATCTTTAGGTGTATTAAAATTAATAATGCGTTGTCAATGTAATAGGGATCGAAGAATGCGAGAACGTAATAATTGAATGAATTTACCAAATGTACTTTCTAATAAATACGAATAAGTGTAACTTGTGAATTTGATCGCTTTCTAATTATCTTAATTGATTTGCCAATAAATGCGTTCCATTGTGGAATAGAAACACACATTTAATCTTGCTACCCGAGTTATTAACGAAAAAATAGTTATGCTTTAAGACAATACAGGGACAAATGAACATATGTGAGTACGGAGATCAATGGAAGAAATCGACACAAATAAGAATAGTTACATTTAAAACACAAAGTATCAATTTCGATTTCTGTCAGAGAGTGGAGCGCTATAACGCCAGTAAAGGTCACATGTATTCCACCTTACCTTTGCGAAAAGACGCGTTGAGTGTGGATTCTGAGGAAATGCAGAACGCATTTTTTCTACAGATTCGTTTTAAACATTGACAATGTTTATCATTGGATTCGTCTCCAAGGGCCATTTAGAATAGTTATAGAACATAATATAGACTTCCATATATATATATATATATATATATATA